CGCAGCCCCTGACTCTGTCTCCCCAGAACTCTGCTCATATTTTGTGTCTGTATCACTTTCTTGGAAATGGGCTGGATGGGAAAGGGAAGGTAATTTGGCTAAATGCTCATTTCCCAGTAGCAAACCGAGGCTTTGATTTTTTAAGTTAACTTATTGTTTTGCCTAAGATCTCACGGGCTGTTTGTGGCAGAACTGAGCATTAAGTTGCAAATGTACAGATCCAGTCATTCAAAACTTATGCAACCCAATGGGGCTCCACGAAACGGTGATGGCAACAGTGTGCAATTAAATCAAAATGTAATGAGTAATCATTCCACGTGTCATATACCATCAGCAAGCAGGCTCCATGCTGATTTTTTTTCGTATGAGAGATTTTATGTGCGTATATTAATTGCATCATATGCAAGGAGAGGGGAAAGGGAACTGACATTTTTAACCATTTTAATGTTTTATTTCAGACATTATGTTAGGAAAGTTGCAGGCATCATTTTATTCTCACGACCACCCTGTGAATTGCACATTATTCCCATTTCCCGATGAAGTGAGTTAGAAATGGCAATGAACTTCCCCTGGGGCATACGCTAGCATGTAATGGGCCGACCTCAGGGTTGTCAGGTCCCAAAGCCTCTCTCTCTCAGATCTCGACTTCTTGGAGGTGTCACTCCGGTGTGAAATAATACTCCATCCTCACAAGCGTCCTGCAGAACCCTGGAGGGAGGAATTGCTGGCTTTGGCTGGTTCTCCTGTTCCCGAGGCCGGCTCCGCCTTACGCCCATTTCCCTTTCTCCCTTTTGGGGACATGAATCTCACGTTGCTGCTATTGGTCAGTGTCAGATGTGGGTTTCCTCACAGCTGGGCTGATGCCCCAGGATTTAAAAAGCCTTACTCTGCAGGAATGTCGGGGTCAAGTGGTAAGATCGGTGGCTGCATCTGCTGTTAGCAGAGGCTCGGCGTCCATTCCGTGTGCGACACCGCCAACCTACCCAGTGCGGGAGAGGTGGTGCTCTTTTCCTTTGGCCACAAGGCCTTCAGCAGCTGCTGGTACTGAAGCCACACCAGGCCTCCCGCACTGAGCTGATGAGGTGGGGAGAGCTTTTCAATATGCTCAGCTTTCAAGGTAAGAGAATTACTCTCAGCCAGGGCCACCCATTCCCATCCCATCACCCACATGCTCTCCCCTGGGACATCCATCAGGGGTCACCTTCTCCCTGGCACATCCCAAGGACCACTTTAGGGTTTTGAGGTTTATATGTGGTGTTTTTCAAAGAACCTCAGGCACAAATACCTCTGCTGGAAAATAGGAAATGATTTAATGAGTAGGAAATAGTTTTTAAAATGGTGAGGCAGCAAGCTGCTAATGCTCTTGAAGGTGAGGAATCTGGTCATTTACATTCCTCTCCAAATGTTATCCTATAATACTGCACTGATGGGTTAAATTATTTGTCTTTGAGGCTTCCAAAGTACTTTTGGAAGGGGGCTGGTCAGTGGTATGAGAGATGGTGAATTATTACTCACTGAAAGGCAGGTCTGCCCCAGGCAAGAGGCTCTGGCCACTTCTGAATTCAGACTATAAATGTCAATGGGCATTTGATTGCTAAGACTTGTGGTTACAGCTGGCAGTGTGATGCATGGGGCCCAAGCTGCAATAACAAGAAAGAAGACTGCAGCTCACTTGGGCCATGACGTTAATAGTGGAGCATGGTTTGGGGGGGTGGGGAACAGGAAGGAGCCAGAGGCCTGGGATGGTCACCGGCTGAAACCAGGAGGGACAGGAGCTCTGTCTGCTTTTCTTCAACCATAAAAGGAATTGACCTAAGAATTGCATCACAGAGCTTGAGGTCAAATCAGAAGGCATCATGGAAAACACCCACTTTGCTTGTTTGCCCACAGTATTTCACTGAGTCTTCAGGTCCCCAGAAGGTAACTTGGGAATAATTGTCATGTAAAAGGTATACAGACAAAGAGGTCTTCAAGCCCCACCATGTGTCACGTGAGTGACTTGTATCTGTTTTATATACTGTGGTTCTAAGTAAGGTTTTACTTTACCTATAAAATGGTTTCTGCTTCCAAAGACAGTTTGAAAAATACTAATATCCAAAATATCCACAGTGACTTTGAAACTTCACAGGTACTTCCTGAGCCTACAGAGCATGCTAAGACATTTGTTAGTGTGAGAGTCTGTCTTGAGGCAGGTTCTCCCAAAAGCAGACCTCAAGCCAAGGGTCTGAATGCAAGGGGTTTCCCAAGGAAGGGCTCCAAGTAAGAGAACTGGGGGAGGAGATGGGGAATGTGAGGAAGGTGAGAAGCCTGAATGGTCAGGAGTCCAACCTCAGCCTGATGCCATGGAGCTCTGGAGCAGAAATGAACCTCAGAGTTTATAATGGGGCAAAGAAGCTAAACTTTTATAATCCAGCACCAGTTAACTACTGGGGACAGACTGACTGGCAGATTTAAATTCCCAGCACATCTTTGTCTTTTTATAGATAAGTTAACCTCAGTAGCTTACGGACTGTCCTCTGAGGAAGGTCACAGAACCTGAAGGATGGGCACACACAGCATTGGTCAGGGAGTTCCAAGTGATCAGGGGGCATTCATGCTTCCTGAATTCAGTTCAACCTGGAACCTGGAACTGGCATCTGCCCTCTGCCTCCCTCCCCACTCTGAATGTATCTGTATTGTAGCTTGTGTTTGAGAAAATGGTTTATAATATTTTCTTTATTCATCAGCTCTCTTCATGATGGTCTGTATTTTGCCCAACATCTCAGATTAACCCCTACTTCTTTTACTGAACTTCTGATTGGTTTCTGGTTAAGTCAGGGTTCAACGGAGAAGCAGGCTGCAAGGAATTGTGTCATGCAGCTGTGGGGCTGGCTAAGCCAGTCTGCAGTTCATAGGCAGAAAGTTAGGAAGTCAGGAAAACTTCATAGTTACTCATGAGCCCCATGGGCAGAGCTCAAGCTTTTTGTGGACAAATGGGAGTTTTGGAACTAGGGGAGGCCTGCACCCTCTTTTAAAGGCCTTATAACTAGTTAAGCCAGGCTTACCCAGGATAATCTCTCTTTTGGTTAACTTAAAGTCATTTGATTAGGGGCCTTAATCACATCTGCTGTAAAAATCCCTTTATAGCAGCACCGAGAGAAGAATTTAATTGAATCACAGGAGTAAGGGGTGTGCCTGCTACAGAATGACTGCTACCTCCCTTCCGTCCTCGGATCTCAGGAGAGAGTGTCTCTTACAGCCCATGCTAAACAAATGCATACAAGAAAGGGAGATCTTGGGACTCTAGTTCAATCTAGTGAAATTGACACACTACGTCATATGGTTTCCTGATCTTTGAAGAGTGGTTCTCCCTGCTGGTACAATACATCCACTGATTAATGGCCCAAGAACAGACCTTTCAAATGTCCACAGTTCTCCAAACCCATGTATGGCCCTAACCCTGTTATATACCTCCCTCTTAAAGACAGATCTGATACTAGATAGAAGACAGAAATCTTGGACAGGGACTCCTTATTTAGAAGATGTCAAGTTCTAGAGCAGTAGGGTGATTTTCCAGGAATCTGTAGCCATTGAGTGATATAACTAGATCTAGAATTCTCTCTGCTTCCAGGTTTTTGAGATGACTGTAAGGCTGGAGGTCCAGGCTGTGAAAGCTGCCCTGCCTTTGAGATGTAGAACCCAAGAGATCTAGGATGCCAGAGATACCGTGGTGCATCAGGATGCTGGGTGGAGTCTCCCATAGGAGATTCTTGGGATAGCCCCCTGGTAGGGAGTCAGACAGAGTCTTCAGTGATACAGAACTACTTGCTTTAGGAAAAGCAGTCTCTGGTGGGCTCCTCGGCTCTAGTGGAGATTGAAAGCCAGATCATGGGACACCATGGCCAAGAAATATGCAAGCTTAGCTGCTCTTTATTGGCTGGATATAGTCACACCCACCCAATCCAGGGGGACACATCGACCATCCACCATACTAGGGAAATGGTACAGTTGAAGTAAGGACTGAGCAGACCCAGAGACCAAAGGAAGTCGCTGAAGAGGTGGCCCGGATCTCACAGATCTCAACCGCTTGTTCTATTGTATGAACGATTGCTCTGTGGCTCCACCTATGGCTTCATTCATGATGGTTCACTGCAGCTAACAGAGGAGAAGCATCTGGTTCACGGATGGGTCAGTTCCATCTGTTGGTTTCATTTGCAAATAGGCATTGAAAATGATCAAAAGTGGCCCCAAAAGAGAGTAGTAAGGGAAACCCACACATATCAAATCGGTGTGGAAGAGGACATGGCCGAAGTCACAGGACTGTACTGAATCCCAGACAGGAGAATGGTTCGGCTGGTTGGGAAGCAGCCTGTAAGGAGCATGATGAGCTTGTCATGCACAAGGACATTTGAGAAAGGGTCAGGTGATAAGATGACAGGTGTGGCCCACTATTTGCTGATCATCTGTCCACCAGGCTGCATGCACCACAGAGGAGGCTCTCAACCCCAAGCAGACAAGACTTCCTGTCTGTCTTCTGTCCTCAGCTGGCCCAGCACCCAGGGCCTATGAGCTGAGCCCCAGAACTGCTCTGCATGGGCCCCACGGCATGGGCTCCCCCTCACCACGGCCCATCTGGGTTCTGTGGCTGACCAGCCTGTCTCCTGCAGAGACTGGCGCTGAACGATGGCACATCCCTCAAGAAGACCGGCCACGTGATGGGAGCTAGCCGTCGGACCCCTCATACCCTGCCGGGGCAGTGATTTGTCATTACTGGAATTGACCTTCACCTGTCTGCCTTCTCTGCCCTCTCCTGCAGGCACCACCATTCAGGGCTTACAGAGGCCCGCACATGAGACCCATTTAACATTACAGAGGCGCCCCAGTGGCACAGGCTTATTGTCTCCACTGGCCCTTCTTAGCCCAGAATGGGCCAGCCTAATGAAATGATGGAATTGCTCATGAATGCTCACCTAGTGCCCACTTGGTGGTAATACTCAGCAGTTTGCTTTGCTCTCTTCCAGGATGCAGAATATGGACTACAGCTATGTGAGCCTAATGATTATTAATTCACAGTGATATCAATCTGCATGGTTATGTCATTTTCTCTATCAATTCCAAGCAGTCTGTGTGAAGGGCTGACCAAAAGATGTTTGCCATGATTCCAGGTGAGGATTTGATACTCATCTGTAATACCAGCTGTGCCCTTGGCTATAGAAACCTGAGATAAATTTTTTTCCTTTCTCACACATATACATTTGTAGTCTATGCAAATAGCACTTTTATTGTAAAGGATGATGTGCCAGTGATCATAACTTTGATAAATTATCAAATGTAGTTCCCACCCTTTCTCAGTACACCCACCTCTCTGTTCTCACCAGCTCACAGACTTGTTCCTAAGGAGTTACTCAGCAGAGATGGAAATGTAATGTATTTGAACAGGTGGAAAATTCAGTGCTGGTACTTTGTACTGATGCCCAGCATTAAAAGCTGGAGGGTGTGTGTGCTATGCATGCGAAGAGGGAGAGGAGGCCACAGGGTGACCTTCCATCTCCCAGTGAGGAGGCTCTGTGTGTGGCCATGAGATGGCTCCTCAGCCACCTCACTCCAGACAGCTGTTCTCTAATCTGCAGAGTGGTAGGCTTTGCTGGAATGATCACTGAGGTTCCTTTGAGCCCTGACTTCCTTGGATTTTGGGGTAACAGAGGGTGCCATTCAGTTTCTCAGGTGCCAGCTTTATCTTCGTGCCTTACTGTACAACAAGCACTTGAGTCTTTCCAGCATGTAAGGTGCAAGTCTGAGCACCATGCGAATAAAAACTGCAGCCAAGAGAGAATCACCTGTCCACTGTGACTCCACACCTACTAATTCATTAAATCTCTGCAACGGCTTGCAAGGTAGGCAACTTCTCTCCTGCTCCCTTGATGAGCTTGGGGTCACCAGCTTGAGGCAAAACATGTTGATGTTTCTTAAATTTTTGGAGTTAGTGCTCTAGGATCAATCTGCACTGATTTGCAGAAAGGTCAGTGTCTTTCTGGAGGTCTCCTTGTGCCCTCATTTGCTAAATGTCCTAAAACACACAAAGTTCATTTTGTCTTCCCCACATCTCTGTCGATGAGGCATCCAAAGAAAAAGGCCTTTTTTAAATTTTTTCTTTCATTGCAATATGGACACTTTGGGGTCACTGACAATACTTGACTCTTGCAGTTGGGGAACATTAATTATATTTTGGAAAATTACTGCTTAATCCATTAAGTTATGTGTCAGTGAAACACACTACCCACTGTTCCACTGAACTGAGCGTCTGGCTTTTTGATGCAAGTTGAGTTTATCTTTCCTGCCTGTGCCGTTGAAGAATTACTCTTTCTAAATGTGGATTTATACTGAACTCTTGGTGCTCTCAACAAATGCTATTTGGGATTGGATGACTCAGACTTTGAGAAAGAAATGCCATCACCAGAAATGAGCCTGTCTGTCCCAGGCAGTCAGACTCTGTCTGCGGGTGGAAGGAAGAGCAAGGTGTTTGCCGAAAAAATGGTCTCTTGGGCTGTTTCTCATTCTGGGTCAGGAAAGAAGCCAGTGTGCGCTAATGTCAGGAGGGACTGGAAGGGACCTTGTTTCTGTGCTCCAAGGAACTGCTGGCTGGGCTCTGCAGGAGGGCGTGGCGGGGGTGGAGGCTCGGGTGAAGGCTGGATTCCTCTGCTTGGAAACCTGCCGGCTGTGAAATGAGATCCTGAGGGCCTGTTAGCAGTCGGTGTGGTTCATGAGCAACTTTGAGAGCAACCTAAGCCACTCTTCGCTTTATTCTTTCTTACTCTTCACACATGGAGTAAGGTTTGCTACATACCCCACGCAGTACTGAGATATTTGGGGCAGAAGTTAAGGGAGAAGATTTTCAAGCTTAGAACACACTGTGGTGCCTTCTGTAAAAGACATTCGATGCGATGACAACTTGGAGCATGGAGGGCTGGAGAAAGAAACATCCACAACCAGATTTCATAAACAATGTTTGGAAATTCATGAAAATTTTGAGGGAAGGGAAGCTCCAGGACAAAGGCTGGATGTCCTGTTGACCTATAGTCTTGAGAGTGGAAGTTTTTCTAATTTAACTATTAAAGGAAATATGTCTTTAATCTCTTCCCCAAGATAGTGAAGTAGAACAGAGCAAAGATCTTTCTGAGTTAGGAATAATAAAAATGCATATTATGTGCCACATATGGAACTATTTTCCCTTTTGATGAAGAGTCTGAGTCCTACCTTGGTTGATAAGTCACCGGAGGTGAGCGCGCTCTGAGGGTGATGGCGCCTTCCGATCTCTGCTCTTTTTGTCCCTTTTACATGTGTGATAAGTGGAATCAGGTTCTTCTGATTTAGTCCTACGTCCACTTCAGTGGTACAGGGTTTTCTGTTTCTCTACATACCCTAGTCCCTGTGCCTTCTCAATCCATGGGAATCAAACCACAAACACGTGTACACATACACACATGTGGCTCTACATACACACACACACTCAGACACACACACATGCACCCACCCAGACACACACACACACATGCATACATGTAAATGCACACACTGACACATGCATTACACACGTGTACACACTCATACACAAACATGCACACCCATCTCCTTTCATTGCTAAAATATCACCACTCAGGTAGTGACAGGGAAGATAGGCTGATTCTGTTGGTTTCCAAGAATTTTGAAAGGTTTGAGAGGATATTGTTGGTGACAAATGGACATTTTGAAATGTTAAGTCACTCTCAAAATGGGCCCTTCTCCCTTAATAGACTTGAGCTGATCACTTAAATGCTACCACACCTCCTATAGGCAGGTGCCCAGCCCCTGCTCTAGACATTTCAAAGGCTAAGATGGGTGGACGTCTCCCACAGAGACAGCAAGGCTTTCCCATGAATTATATGGACTTAGATGATGGGCAGCAGGAGAGACTATCGCTCAGAGGAAAAGTAATCTACCAAACACCTTGTGGGCTGGTGTGGCATGCAGATTGGGGCAGACGTGGATTTGGACCTCTCTCCTGTGCTGGCTGCGCGACCTTCAAGTCTTTGACCTTGAGTTTCCTCACCTGGGACACATGTGGTCAGACTCCGACTTTTTACAGGTGGTGTGAGGGGTGGCTGTGCTTACTGTTGCGTCCTGTCCAGTGCAGAAGACGTACAGCTCCAAAACCGGCCGCCAGAGTTACTGCCAGTTCTGCTCTTACAAACAGAATAAAATTGATAAGCATACTCACAGGCAAGTATCTGCCAAGTATGTTAGGACTGGAAGATTCCTGTGATCTCATCAAAGCCCTGCTGACCCCTTCCAGGTTTGAGTCCGACTGGTGTTCATGGAGAACCCATGCATCGGTTGGCATCGTGTGAGTGCCGCCTTGCTGGCATCACGGAAGGAGCAGCAGATGCCCCCATCTTTCCCGAGGAGACGCCCCTCTTGCTCCTACGCTGCTGCGCAGTGGGGCAAGGCGTGGTTCTCCGGTCTTCAGAGTCCCTGCCGGGTGCTGGATGGTCCCATGCAGTCCTCACAGGAACATCAGAACTTGGTTGAAATTCCACTTACCCTGTTGGTAGTAGAGGGATTGGAATGTTGAGGGTGTAGGAATCACACAGTTTGATTTTGGGAAAGAGGTTCTCAGCCCTGGGTGCATATAAGGAGCATTTGGGGTCTTTAAAAACCCAAAAGCTCAGGCTACACCTCAGATGGATTCAGTCTGCATTTGTGGAGTTAGCAGAGCACGTCAGGGTTTGGTAAAGCTCCTGATTGCTTCCCGGGTGCCCAGGCTGGAGAACTGTGGGTCTGACACCTCTGCGGATTCCGCATGCTACCCTCAGGTTACATCCTCCGTCCCAGGGTGCCACACCTTGTGTGAGTGTGAGATTCTCCCAGGTGTTTGTTATAGACACTGATTTCAGGTCCCTTTCCAGGAGGTTATGAGTCTTTCCATTTGCAGTGGCAACTGAGACTGAGATTTTAAAGCTTTGAACTAAGATGATGTTTATGTAGCGGCAAACTGGAAATGACCTTTAACTGAGGATGTTGACTCCATTTTAACAGCAAACACTTGTGGTGAGAATACTTGCGCAATGATGGTGACCTGTTACTGACAATTACTTAGTGGCTTCAGTAATACGATAATATACTGTCTTTTCTAGAAAGGGCCTTGGGGGTTACCCAACCCTACACTCTCATTTGGTATGTGAGTAAACTGAGGCTCAGAGGACAGTGACTTCTCCAAGGCTACATATCAGATTAGCCCTGGCAGAGTGGGAGAAGCCAGGCCTCCATCTCCTCTCCTGCTCTCTCTCCTCTGGGCTCTACTGGCCCTGCAAACTCAAAACCACCAAGCAGCCAGAGCGGTCAGCGATTCCGAGCAGGCAGCCAGAATTGCTTTTCCTTCAATATATCCTTATGACAAGGTGTTTGGTGCTAAACAGAGTCCCTGGAGGAGCATAAAGCAGTGTTCCCCTCGGGCCACACCTGCTGGACGAGGCTAATCCATTTCGGTGGGCATCTACCTTCTGCTCAAACACCCAAAAACCTTCATCTTCATTATTAACTCATTAATCACTGTAACCAGGGAAAGCCGGCCTCATACGAAGTGCTGGTGTCGGTTCCACACACTTTAACTAGTTCAATTTCCAGTTTCCGGGCAGTCTCATGGCTAATTGTTAGGACTGGAACTCAGAGATTGTCCTCTCTGATGCCAGGGGAGTCCTCGCAGGTGCTCGATGAGGAAGGAAGTTCAGGACAATTAATACCGTTTCCTGGAGGAACAGGTGGCACAGCGAGAGGGTCTGGGGTGGGGGTTGGGAAAGACTCCTCCCCTTGATTGGCAGTGCAGCATACAAATGTTAGATCTGCTGCTTCCAGCTTGGTGGACTTGGGACAGTCATTCCCCACCTCTGCACCTCAGTTTCCTTAGTTTGGAAATTGGTCTATTACATGAAGCTTCTTGTAGTTACTGCTGAGGATGAATTGGCCAGGCAGGCAAAAGCACTGAGCATTTATCTTACAGAGGAAGGGCTGTCACCAAGCTAGACTGAGACAGGCCACCTCTGTGCAGACTTACAACTTGGTACCCTCCAAGCCACTGTTCCTGACTATAAATGGAACAATCATTAAGCGATAGAACTGATCAATACTAACAGTTACTATGCACTGTCGGGAAAGGGCTGACTCTTGCATGGAGGAAAGGTGGAGAGAGAGGCAGACGCACAGGCACGGCACACGGGTTCTCTGGAACGGCACTGAGAATTCAGCCCAATGGGGCCCTCTTGCTCTGCGCATGGAGTTCCGTGGGGACCCAGTTTCATTCTCCCGGAAAGGCCATTCAGGGGCTGTCTGGGGTTGCAAGCTCCCTGGAGAGGGTTCCCTCACCCTAAATGCTTATCATCATACTTCTTCCAGCTGCATTTTGATAAACAATTCTCTAACTTATATTTCCAGTGATATTTACTGCCCCCCCTAGATGGTTACCAGTCACTGAATGGCTGGTTCAGCCTTTAATATGATGCCAGGAATTCAATAATTATAATTTTCTGTCCTTTCCATTGCATTGTAGAAACTGGGAAGGCACATGGAGCTCCTCACAGCTCCCGGACACAGTATCTTCCATTCCACATGTGTATGCCTAGGGGTTCTCCTGCCCACTTCTCTGGATGAAATCTGTGATTATCCTGGAAAACCCAACCCAGACATCTTCTCCTCTGAAAATTTCTCTGTCTCCTCACTGACCCCCCAGAAGTGGTTGCCTTCCCCTAGAACTCTGGCTCCTTGCACACACAGCCATTGTGGGGCTCACCATGCAGATCCCAAGGAGTCCTGGGTTATCTGTTGTCCTCATTGGAACATGTGCTGTTTGACAGCAGAAGCTCGCATTATTCATCTCTGAGCTGCACCGCACCTGCACATAGTGTGTCTGAAATGATATTTTTCTGAAATGGGTCAATGGGTAAATTGTGCATGTGTATGTCAGTATTTTTTTGTTATAAATCTCTGTGCTATTGTTTAATTGTTCTAGTACCTAGCAATTAGTTAAAATTATTTTTGCTTTTGGAGTGGCCTGTTTCCCCTGTATTAAGGAACTGCTTTTTCATATTGAAATCAAAGCCTCTTAGGGACAAAAATTAATTTTCACAAGCATGGCCAGACTAATGGGGAGGTGGTCCAGTGTGGCTAATTTGGGGTTCTATTTCTAAGAAGTACAGTCTTCTGGCTGGTGAGCTAAGACCTGACACACATCCTAGATTTTTCCACATTTCCTTCTCCTCCTTCTTCCAGTATCTATTTATGACCTCTAATATAAGGAAGATACTGTTTTTGACTGGGGAAGAATGGGAAATTCAGGTTAGGGATCAGAATGCAAAGGCGGTGGGGGGAGAAGAATGGTGTCTCCCTACATTTGCTCATAGCTCTTCCTGCAACAAATTATAACTGTTTCTCTTGCCTGTCCCTGTTCTAAATCATATGCAACTTAATGGTAGCAATTTTCTTATTCGCTTCTGTATTATCAATGTCTGTAACATGACATGTATTTAAAAAATGTAATATAAAATATTTACTTTTTCCCCAGTGTTTATTTTCCACATGCTAATGTCAATATTACGTGTTATCAGGTGGGGGTGGCATAGTTAGTAGAGCATCCCCTAAGGTCTTTCTAGATTTGAATGTCTTTGACATCACAAAGAATAGTGATTTATAGCTAATTCATGGTATTCATGCTTATCCAGAATGAGCCTGTCTGCAGCAGGGGTAGTCAGCATCGAAAGAGGTGTCCAGGACCATGCACCTCTCTTTATGTCAACTGCATGCTCTGCTACAGTGACCTTGGCATTCACTGATTTTGGTCATCCAGCAACCTTAGTTCCAGCCATCGTCACTACTCTTATTATGGTGGCTTGGTTGGAGCTCAAATCACAGTTCTTGGGACTAAGCACAACTGGACATTGTTTCTCCTTGATGCTTGGTCACACTTGAGGATTGGGCATATGATACAATCAGAGGCAAGGGAGGTTTGGATATTAATTCTACAAAGGGAACTCACTATTTAACTGCCATATATAATTTTAAGAGACTGCAAGAGCTGAAGCTGCTATCATCTTCTTTTGTCTCAAGGGGAGATCTTGTCTGAGGAAGGACCCAATATGGAGAAGACTGAAGTAAGAGATGGAGAGAAAGTAACCAGGTTCTGTCCCTGATCAAGCCATGCCTGAAAGCAGTCTTTGGAATATTTAGTTACATGAGACTGTTGCATAACTCATTTTGGATCAGGATTTCTATCATTTGCAACTGAAAGAGTCTTAACTGAGATAGTCATCAACCTTCTGATTATTATAGTGGCTTTTCCTATATCTCAAGGATGTCTTGGGTAAGAAACATGAGCATTTTGGTTGCTGAAATGAAATCTTAATTGTAAGTTAAAACATTGTTATTCTACTGCTAATTTAATCAGTATCTAACTCATCCATGTTTGGCCTGAGTGAATACACTGAGTAGAGTGAGAATATTTCTTTCTTCTGGATGTGTGAGAACCTGGAATGCAGTTAACTTACCAAAGTAGTCTTTCTCTTGTAACAGTGTGTCCCAGCTAGATCCATAGAAAGTGCATAAGTGTGTGTGTGTGTGTGTGTGTGTGTGTGTGTATGCATATATATGCATGTGTGTAGGTGTGGGTATAGTTGGTCTTCTATGCTAGATGCCCTTGAATCATTATTTTAAACTTAACTTTGCAACATAAGCATCATCTATATTTGCATGGAAGTGTTATGCTTGACTATTATTAAATTATTAGTAAATAATAAATTATATTATTTGTAATGCTTGAGTGCTAGTCCAAAAAGTCTTGCATTTTGGCCTCTCAGGCTTGGCCCTGTGAGTTATCAGGAGCAATCCTATCCTAGTGAGTACAGACTGTTACAACTCAGTCTTATCAACTCCTTGGACCACCCTGAGGAGCTGGTGGTTCAAAAAGGCCTCTACTGAACATGGATGACTTTTACGACTTTTGAAAAATGGACACAGGAAGCTTCAAATATTGCAGGCTTACAGACATGCATTTTCAGAGCCCTTTACACTCAAGGAATTTGCTTCATGTTCACGTCCTTCTGAAGGGTCAGTGGGCAGCCAAATTGGCAGAAGCATCCTCTGTAAGTTGAATCTGCTTGACACTACAACATCTGTATGAAGGATGAAAATCACCTGAGCTTTCCAATAATTGCCTTTATGATGCCAAAGATCTGGATGTATTATTTGCAAACCTGGACCAGGATGACTGGGTTTTTCCCTTTTGGTGCTGCGTGCCACCATAAAAACTGTCCCAGAAGCATGGGAGAGAGATGGTCAGGATCCTCCACTTCTCTTCTTCTTTTTCCAAAAGGCCTTGTGGGTGGACTTTCTCCATTATTTAAATTTCTTCACTGACTCCAACTGAGCCCAGAAACTGTCAAGCTGAAATACTGTGAACAAAATTTAACTGTCCCAGAAGCATGGGAGAGAGATGGTCAGGATCCTCCACTTCTCTTCTTCTTTTTCCAAAAGGCCTTGTGGGTGGACTTTCTCCATTATTTAAATTTCTTCACTGACTCCAACTGAGCCCAGAAACTGTCAAGCTGAAATACTGTGAACAAAATTAGTCTCATACTTTTCTCTAGTTTAGTGGAAAGCTGTGGAAGTTGAAGATTTGTAACTATCTTCCAGCCCAGAAAGTTCAAATATGTTCTCCAGCTTTGGATTTTTATTGTCGGTGTTACTATTGAGCTCAAACTGAAACTCTGAGCCAAAGAAAAAATTGCTGTCAGTACTTATTCCATTTTTAACAACACTCTGGTGGCCAGGCACTGTGCTAGGCTCCTCAAGGAAAATAAGAACAAGTACCTGCTCTCAAAGAGCTCACAATATAGTGCCATTAGACATAAGTTTCATGTGAGGCAGAATGAAATAAGTGTTTACAAGGGTGCAGGAGCTCAGAGGCATATGGTAGAATCAGGGGACTTTTTCAAGGTAGTGGGTGTTTTTTTTTTTGTGTGTGTGTATTTAGTCTTAAAGGATTTCAGAAAATATGAAGACTAAGGAAAACTGAAAACCTAGGAATGCCATGAACAAGTCTTGGAGACATAAAATCAGGTTGTACAAATAAGACCAAAGTCCAATAAAACTAGATGAGACTAAAGTTCATGTCAAGCAAGACCAGCCTAGAGCCTACCCTCTTCCCAGCCCAGGTATATGTGAGTGTGGGAGATGCATAGATAGGAGAGGGGGGGAGGCATCTCCGGACCTTCCCTATGGCTCTAGCCTCTCCTCCCCTCCCCTCAACCTACTACTGCACGTATGCACACAGGCATGCATGTGTCCTGCAGTATGAATACAGGGGCTTCCCTGGACATTCCCTGGTCTTGCTTGCCTTCAAGACTTGTATTCCACTCCTCCTTGCCTGCAGTGCTTCCTTCTTCCACCCTTTCCATCTGAGGGATGCATCCCTCCTACCCTCAGAATGCAACCTGAGACCAGGTTCTGGGAAACTCATTTTCCTACAAGTAACTTTATGTTCTTCTTCTGTATTCCTGTGAATCTATTTCTATGAGGATCCTCCTGAATGTGACAGAAACATGACTCAGACTCACATAATCAGAAGAGGGAAATCACTGGTTTGCATAACTAGGATAAGAAGATGAGAGATTATTTTAAGGTTTAAGTGTTAGAATCAAGGCGTTGGTATTGGTGTACATTCTGTCTCTCTAGCTGTTAACTCTGCTGCCCCAGCTTCAATTTCAGCAGATCTTTGAGTATGGAAGCAAGTCAGCCCTTGGCAATGATGAATCTTCATTCTCTTCACAAGTCATAATTCATAAATCCTAAAAAGAGACTTTCTCTCAGTGTACGTATGCTAAATCACATGGTGGGGTTCTTTCTTGTCCCTGGTAGATTATATACCCAAATTTTAATAGCCTTTGTGTTTAGGGAACAGATATGCTTGCTTCTCATTACCCAAACCACATAGAATGGGTTTATCACAGGAAAGAGAGCTTCTGGTATAAGCAAAACAAAACCAACGAACAAAACACATTTATCACCACTCAACATTTTTAACATTCATCATGCCAACCTAACGGCTGGTTTGCTGGTCTGTCTCCTCCACTAGACGGTGATCCTTGGTAGCGATGGAGGATTACCTATCCCTGTAGCAGAGACTGTGTGCAGATGACTGGAGGCTCAGCAAATGATGGCTGATTGAATGAGTCACTCAGGGAAAGAAAGAAAGAATGAATAAATCTTCCTGCGAAATAGATGGGTCAGGTAGTATCATTTCCATTCACAGTTTTATCCCATCATTTCTATCCTGGACTACTTCATAGCCCTTTAATTAATCTTCATATCACCAGTCTTGGCTTCCTCTAATCCATTCTTTACACAGCACCCAAATTGATATTTTAAAAAATGCAAATACAATAATTTTCTTCCTCTGCTTAAAGCCTTTCCTTGCATTTGGAATATTGGACAGACATTTTTTCAGGGCTTCTGAAAACCTTTATGGTCTCCAGCCCCGTCTTGCTATTCTCAACACTTCTATCACCAGTGTTCCAAACCCCGTATTTCCAACCCCAAATGCACAGGCACTTCATTTTGCATTACTTTCACTTCATCAAAGGCATCAAGTTCTCCTTTGCAGTTAAGTCTTTGTTCAGGCCCCCCCGGGGGTGCCCTTCCTCTCCCCTCCCTTTTCACCTGGCTGATTCTGACTCACGCTTCAAAGCCCAGCTTACACATGCCTGAGAAATGAGGACTTTTATCCACTGCCCCTCATACTGCTCCCAGAGGACCCCCCCCCCCATAGAGGCACCTACAGTATTCTGTGAGGGCTTACTTCGTTGTCTGCATTGCTGCTACTCAGACTGTACGCCCTCAGGATATGGGGTTCATCTGTTTTATCCACTATCATGTCTCCACCTTCTAGGTCGATAAAGCACTGACCAATGAATGAATCAATGAATGAATGAATTTATTTTGTCTCCACAGCGTGCGAAACATTTGGTATGGAAGTTAGGCGTGATCCTGGCACAGGCCCTGCACTGGAGGGACCCCATGCCTTTATGCAGAACAACTGCAGTTCAGAGATGTTATAAGTGGCAGAGCTTTATGTTGAGACCTTCCCTGACTCCAGATCTAGGCTCTTCACTCCACTCCCGCCGTCCCTGTGCCCATACTCTGCGTGGATGCACACATGCACAGAGCAGCTTGTGGCTGCACTGCGTTTGGACGGGGAGGGAGCCTGAGGCTCTCATGACAGTGAAACCTCTGCGAAATGGTATTTGGGCCAAGAGCCATGCTCCAAATCATTGTTTTCCCATTTATCTGTAAAGAGAATCTGTTGATAGGCTTTGGCTTTGGAAAATACACTAGAACTAACATTTCCTTGCTATTTGTACTGTAAAACATGGGCCTCAGAAAATACCTTTGTGAGTAATGAAAGCACTGTCAAAGTCCAGCTGTTGGTTTTCTGGTGGTTTTTATGGCCAGGCTTAGATTATTGGAGCTGATGCTGTAGAGTCACTGTAGGGAGGGCGAAGGAGACCCAAGTTCTGGTCTCAGCCTGACTAGCAGCATTTGTGGGATTATTTTCAGGAAAGGAAATGATCTTTCCTTTAGATCTTCACCAAACTAAAGCTTCTATGGGAATAGCCTATTCTTTGCCAGTGTCTGGTCTATTAAATAAGCTGGTTCTGACAACGAGTCTGCAAGAGGCTTCATTTCCAAATAAAAAGACCGAGTGGGCCTTAAGAGAGCGAGCATTGAGCACTGCCTCCCTTTTTCCTGAGAGGGGTATCGTTGAGAGGCAGGTCTTGATTTGCGGAAGTGTCCTTATGGCCCTAAAGCAGTCAACAAAGAAAAAGAAAAGGTCAAGAGCTTAAGGAAAGCTGGCTAGAAAAATTAGACAGTCTGAGACTTGGCTAAACCAGTTAAGCCCCAGAACAAAGGTTCCAGTCTTCTGGGTCCAGGAGATAATTGAATATCTTCTTTATTGCTCAGAGCTACTCTATGTTGGGCTTTCTATTACCTGCAGACAGAAGCATTCCTAATGGATACATATGGAATTAGTTAGGTTACAGCTGCTACATTACACCAAAGGCAAAAACACAGAAACAAACATGGTCTGTTGATTGGAGCAAATCATTCTTGGCTTGCCTTGATTTGATCGTATGTCAAATGGGGAGCATATAATTGGCTTGAGAAATGCCAATGAAGGAATGAACAATGGCATTAACTTTTCAGATACTAGGGTGGTACTTCATTTTTATTTGCTTTTTCCTTTCTCCCTCCACCAATTTCACCCATCCCCCTGTAGGGTGGTACTTTAAACCACTGTACTTGACC